ATGTTAAGGCACTTGAAAAAGCAATATGTAGGAATGATTGAGATCCATCTTTTGTCTCTGGTACAGAGATTATCTGAAAATGGCTTGGAATAGAAACATAAGATTTCACAGTAAAAGAGGTATAGTGTCTTTGTCATATCATTACCTAGCAATGTCATACTGAGATTGCACTTTGAACTCAGTGTTATGTTACAGTGCGGAACTGTTATGGTCCCTTTGCAGATTAAGTACATTGCCAGACATTTTTTTCTTTTCTTCTTTTTTTTTCCTGGTCAGTACATTAAAAATCCCCTCCACACAATACACTTTGGGGGAAAAAAAGTTGAAATTAGAGCAGCATGTAAGGGAAGTGTTGAAATGAAGAATTCATGAACATCCTGAACAGAATTTTCTATTCATGGTGCTCACAGCTGACCACAGAAAACACTTTCAAAGGTTAGAGGAAGTGTTTATTACTGAAGAAGGAATTTTTCATGTTATTAGTTTGTGCATTCCTGCACTGGGCTTTTCGGTGCTTTCTAGAGATACTTCCCGCATGTTACAACACTTTCAACAAAGCCTTAGCTCCAGGAGAGGAATGTGTACTTGGGCATATGTAAATATTTACCTAAATTGTAATCTTTCTTATAAGTCCTGCAAGATAAAAAAAAAAAAAGAAATGGATATATATTGCATGATAATTTGATCTAGGTACTTTACAGGCCTTAACTTACTTGATACTCATGAGTACCATTTTGTGAAGTAGGTAAATGGATATTGACTTTATTTTATCAAATAGAGGAAGGTGATGGCCTAGAAGACAAAAATGGCGTAAGAATAAAAAAAATATAATCTTGCCCCAAATGCTTAGACAGAAGGTTATTTGAAAAGGTGTCATTATACATGGTGAATCTCAGGCAGAGAAAAAATTACTTGTAGTATGCTTTCCACTGACGTTGACAACAGGAGGAAAATGTGCTTGGGAAGGTTAGCTCAGGACCAAAACCTTCTGTTAGGTGTACTGAGTTTTACTGGTGGAATTATATTATCACATTTGATAAGATTCCTCTTCCTTGATTGCATCAGGATTTTTTTTACATATCCCAGAACACAGATATGTACATGGTGTAGTTGCTCAGTGGGGAAGATCTGAGTAAACTGAACATAGCTGACTAGTGTACACTTGCAGGTATAGAAATAAAAATTCCTTGTGTTGGTGTCTACCATTTATTTGAGGGTGAACATAAGGTAGCCAAAGCTCCAATTTTGTATGTAGTCAGCAGGATTCAAGTCTGTTCTGCAAGACCACAGTAGATTTTTAGTCTGTATCGTCAACGATTTTGCCTTGACTGTGTGGCACATTCGTTGAAACCTCGCTCTGCTGGTAGGAAGGTCACTGCTGATGACTTTCTCTGGACATGGAGAGTAAGACGATGGAATCACTGTCACTGTAAGCCACAGGTCCTGTGGTACGGCTTCTACAGCCACTGACAGCTCTCCATGCTTGTAAGTCACCACACGGTGGGAAATTCATGGGGGAGTGTAGCCCAAGGGTATCGAGACCTTGTAATTTCTTGGATGTCAAGATTAAGATGCTTTCAAAGAGCTGTTAATACCACAGAAGTCTTGATCTTACCTTCACTTTGTAGAGCAATTAAGTAGCATAGGTAGTGTGTGCAGTTTCCCTGAGATACTGCTGATCTTTGTAGACAAAATGCACAAAAAGTCTTTTGTGTCTGTATATATTTGATGTCTGTATAATGTATTCTCCATAGTGTGGGAGGACATGCTGCTGAGAAGGTCAGTCATGATTCATTATATAGACATTGAATCCTCTTTTCATCACATTTGCAGCTTGTACATCTTTTCAGATACTTCTGTTTGCTACTTCTCAAGTAAGTAGCTAAATTAGTAGCTGAGCTGAGTAAAGAATAGTAAAACCCCTCTAAAAACAGACTCTCTGTTAAACTGAAGGCATATTTTAAAATTCTAGTGATTTTCCACTGGCTCTTCTTTGCTGCTAACTTGTGAAAGAAGGAACAAGAAGTTCACATTCACTTACAGACTTAGATAAAAAGCTTAATCTTTCAGTGGTGAATGTTAAATGCTTCCTTTGGGTTTCCCAGCACCTTTAAAGTCCTTCCATAAGCTTGTTGAATTGCACCCACAGCACCTTTTCCAAGCGCAGAAAATCAAGGCAAAAATTTAATACCTATAAAAGCTACTTAACACAGAGGTTTTCTGTGGAACATTTGAAGACCCATGGCACTTCACAGATCTGCTATAAAATCTCTCCAAGTTACCCTCTGAAAGCACAGCACCCTCTAAAAGTATCTCAGAAGTCTCCAGTTGCTCACCTATCCTTACCTGCAACCGAGAGTGAGCTAGAAGAGAAGGAGAATCCAGATGCATTAGCATCCTCTGAAACCTCTGTTCTCCTGGCTTGGCAACCCTAATTATTAAGATACTGCATATTGAAACTGATTGCAAAGTCCATACTGTGTATTGAAGCTCCTTAGGAGTTTCATGCCCATCCTTGCACAGAAGGGTAATTGTCAGTGCTCTGAGCTTCTGTCCTGTACGTCTAAATTAAGAACAAGCCTCTGGGCTGCTTCTAGGCCTGTAGTAACTTCTCAGACTTTGTCCTTGCTCTGTAGCCAGCTGACCTGAGCTTCCCCCAGAATACAAATCCACTGTACCATGCTGTCAAAACAAATTACTAAGTATCAGGCAGCACCACCGAGGAGACAGAAGCCAGGATCTTAGTGAAAGTAAAAGGTTGCTATTCCATGCTTGCTGAGGAATTCAGGCAAACATTAAGGGAAACATTCCTCCTTCCCCAAATGCTGCCCTGAGACTTGATCCAGAAAGTAATCAGGTCTGAGGAAGGAGCGAGTTAAGTAATCAGGTCTGAGGAGAGGGAGCGAGATGTAAGGAGGCTCTACTGAAGCATCACCCACGATTCTAAGATGTACACCCAACATGCTGCAGCACCTGCAGGCTTTGGGGAAGGGACTTAGGGGGCAGAACTCTCTATTTGCATTGTTCATGATGGAGGCTGGGTACAGGGCACTGAGGCTGCTGCTTGAAGAATAGAATAGCTCCTGGGTAAATCTGGGCTGATATTCCCTAAGGAGCTAATACTGTCTTCAGTTACTGACATGATTTCTGTTTTGCTCTTCACCTGTAAGTACCTCCCTCACCTCCCACATACTCCTTGCACCATCAATTCCTTACAGCCTGCTCTGCTGCTTTCTTACTTACAGGGGTGTGTGCTAGATCTGAATCCATTAGTGTGTAATGAGCTAGGCATTTAAAGCTTACCATTTAGGTTATACCCCTGCATTCTTCTAAATGAATATGCTTCAAGTATTTACAGATCTGGAGTAAGCTCATTTAGAATAATGAGTTAAGCTGATGCTACTTTCTTGAACTAATATCTCCATATAGTTCATCACAATTAACCAAAACGTGGACATGGACATTTCAGTCAAGAGACAGACAGAATAATAAGGACGGCTCATTTCCATTTGTAAAAGTCCTAATTATCCTGACATTTAAGAGGGTACCAGTTTCCAATAAAAATACAAATGAGGAAATGTCTTTAATCAGAGCACGATATGCAAGGCCTTCTCAGAACAGTTTAATCTAACACTGACTTGAATGTTAAATGCCTGCAAATACTGGGAAAACATTTTGTGAAAACTCTTGGGACTTTACCAGAGCTGATGCTCTGAAAGGCTGTGATTTCCCCATAACATACCCAGTACCTTTTGAACTCAATGCCTGTTCCAAAAGTTGGCAGAAAGACAGAGGTCTCAAAAACCTTACACTTTGACATATTTCTTCAAAACTAATGGGGCAATATGGGAAGAAGCCAGGAATACTGAGGGGGGAGAGGAGAAGTTTATCATGTGGGCATGAAATATAAGTCTGAAGGGAAA